AGAGAGAGAGAGAGAGAGAGGTGGGAGGGACAGACAGACGGACAGACAGACAGACTGACTGACTGACAGACCGACAGACACACAGACAGACACTCAGACAGAAACACAGACAGACAGACACAGACACTCATACATACAGAAACACACAGAGGCAAAGCAATAGAGAAAGACAAGTAAACAGAGAGACAGCCAAATAAAACACATGTGTATGCGAAAGTAACCTCTCCATAAGTGTTTATGGACTATTTAATGTTCCATAGCATGCTAGCAGATCTTTATCACAAGAGGGCGTTAGGCGTGACGAGTGGAGTTCGAATAAATCTTTCAAAACTCGATGCAGCTGACATCGTGTCCTATATAATGTGAACACAGTACGCTACGAGATGGATGGTTCACACTCTGTCAAAAGGATCCTTAGCGGCCCACTTCTGTTGAGGTGTAATAAAAATCAGGGGACGTTTTTTATTGGTTTTTACTTTTATTATTATTTTTTTTTGGTTTTTATTATCGTTTTGTAAGAATTTACCGCGCTGGCAACTGCCTAACGTTGTATGAACGCGGTTTTTTGTTTGTTTGTTTAGTTTTGTTTAGTTTTTTTTGCTTTTTGTTGTTTGTTGAGTTGTTTTGTTGTTGTTTTTTTTATTGTTGTTGGATGGGTCTTTTCTTTTTTTTTTTTGGGGGGGGGGGTGCTTCTCAAATAGAAAATTTTAAGAAATTAATGGCTCCACCACAATGTCTGCGCAATCTCTTTTAACAAGATACGTCACTCCCAAGAATGGGTAGTAAAAGCGCAATAGCATACACGGTGTCGCCATTGGCGATCTTGAGGACGTTTTTAAAAAAAATGTATCTCAAATAGAACGGTGAACCAACCTGTATGATGTTTGGTGTAATCCGATACTCTGCCAACCAAACGTTACAAGCAAAGACCAAGCTACCAAGAGTTTTTTCTTCCTTCTGTAAATCCCATTGTAAGTGATTGTAGCAGTGTAAATCAGAGAAAACCGAGAAATTCTATTTTTAATTAACTGGAATCAACCCAGCTGTAAAACCCTTTCTGTTTTGCTAGGTGGACATTGCCACAAGGTATGGGGCTGCTGGGGTCATCATGTTCCTTGACCCTGCTGACGTCACAGGATACAACATGGGGGACCCACGGGTCTACCCTGACACCTGGTGGCTACCCCCCTCGGGCTCTCAGCGCGGGACCGTCTTCACGGGGAGCGGAGACCCCCTGACCCCGGGCTTCGCAGCTAATGGTAAGAAGGGTTAATGGTAATAACAAATAGCATTTATTGTATAGTGCATAATAAACTCTAAGCGCTTTGCAGTATATCATTACTGCAGCAGACCATAGAATACTCCGAATCATTCTCTGCTTCTCGGGAAGCATACAGTGTAGGCAGTTGATAAAGCACTCAAACACTAAAAAATTGACAAGATCTGTCATTTTCTGTAGCTAGGTACCCCTTCCCACCTGGGTGAAGTCAGGAAAATTCATGTAAAGTGCCTTTCCCAAAGAAACAGCAACGTCGGGTCCCTGAGGGGATTCGAACCCACGACCCTACGGTTGCTAGGCTGAGAGCTATATAGGCCACCCACGCCACATTGGTTGCAGCAGAGTACACCCAGTAAACTCTCCGGTACACCGGTTCAACTAAAGTCGAAACTTTTCAAAGACGGTCATCTTCGAGTATTGTCAAGGAGAAAAATAGCCGTCTCAGATTTGTGGCAGTCTTCTACAGTGTTATTATAGAGTTTAAAAAATACACACATGAGCAAATGGAAAGTGGCTGTTTATACAAGTGATTGTCTTATACAGGTGGCCGTTATGTTAGAGTTAGAGCAGGTTTGACTATAGTTTTTATTTAACTCAACATATTGTAAGCCAATCCAATGTCTGCCGTTACAAGTTTTAGTTTAAAGTACAGTCGAGCTTGTCCAAGACGACCACACATTGTTGAGGATAAAATTGGTTGTCTTAGACAGGTGGACGTCTTGGACACTAGTATTTTAATATAAAAAAGCGTAAGGAGAAGGGGGTGTGGGAAGTGATCGTTTGTCCATGTGATTGTCCCGGACAGGTGGCTGTTTGGGCAGGTTTGACCGTATCTGTAACATTAGCATCTTCTGCATAAAAAGCTGATAGGTTTCAAGATACAAGCATGTATTATATCCACCAAATTTTAAGATAAGAATGAAGATTTGGTATATGGGGATCCTAGATGTTGTAGAGGCTAGCAGATATTTCTGATTAATGCGGAAAGTAAGAAAAACAACAACAATAGTGCAGCTTAAAGCCAGTAGACGTGCTAACTTTTAAGAGTTATCAATGTAGATTATTTACC